ATTTTTTTAAAAATATACAATAAACGAATGTTTTATTATTCCTATAAATTAACAAAATTAATATTTGTATATTGTAATTAAAATTGAATTAAAACAAAATATTAAATAATAACAAAATAATTCGTTTCAACCATAAATATACGTGCAATTTCTTTTTTTTTTTTTTGTTTTTTTCTTTTTCATCTGTTAACATAAAACGATAATTTAACTTTTTATTAAAATTTATCAAATATTTAAATAATAATTGGAATAATTAATTCTAAAATGTAATTACACCTGTATATATAAATATGCAAAAATTAGGTAATAAAATTATTTGGATATATGGTCATGAAAAATTTACGCTTTATAAATAATTATCAAATTTATCATTATCATGATAAAAACTTGTTTGAATGGAATGATATGATGAAAAAGGTGCGATAAATATTTGCTTGATAAAAGAGATAGTGTGAAATTTTAGAAAATTAATATCATTTTTAGAAAATGGGTAAAGGAAATTTTTATGGAAACAATGCGATGTTTGTTTGAAAATTAAGATTTCAAATTTTGATAGCATATTTATTGAGCGTATGGAAAAAAGAAGGTAAAAGGGGGGGAGAAATGACACTTTCCGCCTTCTTTTCATCCAGTTATGTCTGTCCCCTTTCCGCATACCGCATACGTCGATTTAATTCTCCAAACATTTTTCCCATCGTTTATCCCGAAATAGACAAGGTCATTTGAATTCAATTATACAAAATATTTTAGATTACACCATATCATTAAACATGTTAGACAAACTTTCTTTCTTTTTTCTTTTTTCTTTTTTTCTTTCCTTCAACCTTTTCTAAATTTTGTGCATAAGAAATTAATTATATAACATTTATTATAAGACAAGATGAGAATTATAAGGCCTTATTCAAACATTTATATTTATTTGCTGATGATAATTAGCTATTTTATATGCATAATCTTTGATCGAACTAAAATCTTTGGTTCAAATCCCATTACAATTCAATTAGATCATTATTTTCATTTTAAAAATGAAAAAATTTTCTTGCAAATTTTCTTCTTTTTTTGAGTTTACAATTTCTAAATAATTACTTAAATCATTTTCGCATTAGTTTTAACAATTTTTTTTTTTTTTGTAAAAATACGATAATTTATAATTTAATACTTTCATTAATAGCACAATTATTTTCAAATTCTATTAATGAAGAATTAAGATAATTTCATTATTTATCTTCTCATGATTATCTTTTACAATGTCTCTTTATTAAGTATCACATTTATATTTGTTAATTACTGTCAAAATATTTGATGTTTATTCAATTTTCTAATTTTTCTTTTTTTTT